TTTTTCAATATCTATACATATATACATATCTTTATTTAGATATATGTATAGAGGAAATTCTAGGAATACATACATACAATACAGATACATAGATATATATATATTACACATTTTGCGACATAAAAATATACTTCTATTTATCTATCTATATATAAATATACATGCTTCATATATGTATATATATACATACATGTAAATATATACACATATATATATATATATGCACACACACACATATATATTTTTATATATATATGCAGATTAGGTATATATAAAATTAGAGATTACGTATTTATAATTATATATATATATGTATATATATATATAAATATTTAGATTTAAATATATATGCATATTTCTATTCAATAAATACTTATATACACACCGACAGACAGAGACACACACCACATATACATATATATACGTCTACACGCAAACACACTTTCGCTTTGTCACACACACTATATATATATATACACGTGCACGCACATGCACCTACACACACACATATATATACATATACGTATATACTTATACCTATATATATATATATGTATATTAACTTCTCATTTATACATATGCACAGACACACAAACACACACACACATATATATATAGACACAGAGATAGTTACGATACTTACATAGCTTCTATAGTTCCGGGCGTTTACAGTACCAAATAGCGTCCTATCGGCTGAGAAAATCAGAATACGTTCTTAGCGTCGAGTTTCGAGCGTGCCAAGAGATCGTTTCCTTAATAATCATATGCATATCACGAGTAGACTGCAAGGAGTGCCCGTTAATTGTGGTATATTGGGTTCACAGTTGCGACAATGGGATCGGAACAAAAAGCATAGATCCGAAAGGTGTAATGGTTTGGACTTTAGCAATGATCAAAATATACAATCATGTAGAACATGCACACGTCTCTCCCTTAGTATTGCCAATTCGTGTTTGATTTGGAAATGTAGCTACACAATTGAACACTGGGGTCAGTGGGGTGGAGAGTTTTGGTGATTTTAAAGCACATGTTCTAGCACGGAGCTGTTCAACATCTTTTTTATCTAGGGGGTTCTCTGCATTTCGATTTTTGAACTGTTACATATGTATGTACTTTTAGTATTGTTATATTTGTACATACTTTTATAAAAGAGACAAAGTGTTTAAATAAAATAACCTTTAGTCCTATACCATAGCCTTCTTTAATTATTTATTACACCTATAGTCATATACACAAACAGAATATAGAGGAAAGTAGAGAAGTAAAAAACTGATAGTTCAAGCAACAACAAGGCCACACTGGCACAAGCGGCACAAGGCCACAAAACAACTTCACAACAAAGCACAACTCACAAGAGTCAAGACGCAAGGCCACAAGGTACAAGCTCGTGAACTCTAGCTCTAGTAGAGGTCTTGAGAGGCGAGCTCGCAATTTTAGCGTGATATATACTCAATTACTCACATTTCCCTTATCTGCGGCAATGCTCTACTCAATATTCACACGTCTACCTACCGAAAGTTCCACTACAAAATTCCAAACCACAAACTCAAAAGTGTTCGTCTATTCTAGAAGAAAATCAAGAAAACTGAAAAAAAAGATGTAGAAAAAAGAAAGCTTTCTGCATTTAAAAAGAATTCAGATGACTAAAGTCTTAGACCCGTGGGCCGTGCGACACAGTGCGCTCCCTGTGGACTGGAGTGTGGTCCCTTGACTCTTGAAAAAAACAATCTTCAATCGTTGAGCATATCGACATATCGAGAGCAGCTGCAAAATCGAGAGTTTGATCCGACTCTATCTGAGACTCTGAGTCTTGATGAGTCTCTGGGTCCTGACTCCTGAGAGTAGACTTGAACCCTGGGCGGATGGGCCCTCCTCTACTTTCTTAGAGAGTATGTAGAGAGAGTACATAGTAAATAGACTAGTAGTAGAGGCCTAAAGGCTTTTAGGCCCCAGGGCCCAGGGCCCAGGGCCCGGTCAACCGGGGCGGCGGGGCGGCGGGGAATAGCGAATTCTGTGATGAGAGGACTTAGACTCTCAGAGGAGTCGAAGGATAACCAATTTATAATCACAAGACTGCGTGCACCAATTTCTTCACGAATTTGCTCTCACGAGTTTTTCTTCTTCTTCTTCTTCAGATTATTGATGAATGATCGGTCTGCACGGGCCGGGCAACGCACTATTTTTGAAATCGTTTTTTTTTCATGAGTTTTTGATCGTGTAAAATCGGTTAAAAAAACTCGTGAAGCACATTCGTGAAGGAAAATCGAGATCTTCGATTTTGGCCAAAACTTGTGAAGAAAATATGCTTCACGAATCCGATGCTTCATGAATTTTGAAACTTCAAATACGAGTCTTGGAATCTGAAATAAAAATGCATTTCACTGGTGAACTTTTAAGCCGATTTTTAAATTTATCTCCCTGATTTCTTTTTCGACCCCGCTCAATTTGGAGAGTATGGTGGCAGGTAGAATCTAAAGTAATCTCTACTATTACTATTTGTTTATATACATATATATATATATATATATAAAACTACTATAAAATATGGGTTCCACTCAAATTACATATTCGTGAAGAACTGGTGAAAACCCGGCACCGGTCCACCAATTCCTATAGAAATCGCAAACAAAAATATACATCGGATCAACTTATTGAATCAGTGAAGAATTCGTGACACCGGAGCGGGTGGTCTAAATATGTCGTTGTCTTTGAGTTTTTGTATTATGCTGTGTGCTCAGTCATCAGTGCAATGTTTGTGTTTGCACCTTCGAAGTTTTTTTTGCAGTGGACAATTGGTTATTGGAAACTGTCAATGTACTGCAATATGTATCTTTTGAATTGAACCACAGGAGTGACAAGACCCAAGTCCACAACACAGTGGTGGACAACTAGACACACTCTCTTGTGCGCGTGGAGCTGTGCTGCCTAAGACCCTCAGAGACTCAGACTCTCAGTGCCTGTGTACTTCGTCTTTCTCGTGGCTCCCAAGTCCCGAGTCCTGAACTCCTGACACAAGCAGATTGTTTTTTATATAGTATTTGATCAAACGAATATTGGCGATCTACCGAGTACTCTACAACAGCAATTGTTTTATTATTTTTAACGTACTATTTTTTTTTAAAATATACAAAAATCATTAATATGTCCCGTTGCCTTGTCGGCCCCTGGCCCTGGGCCTGTGTCCACAAATAGGTTTGCGTTAAAACGCTTAAACCTCGAATATATACATATGTGATTGCATATGTTTACCGGTAGTAGGCTCAACGTTTATATTTTGATGATCTTTCAGTTGTCGTATTGGTATAGGAGGATATTTTTTTAGAGCCCTGGGGTCTGGGGCGCTACAGCTGTCATATAATTGTGCCTTTTTTGTTGTTGTAAAACCCTCAATCTCTCATACCGTTACACGTTGACGCATTGATTTCATTCCGTTAGCGTTTCTAATATATTTTGGGTAGAGGTTTTGCCAAAAATGATTTTTCTCTTTTTTAAAAAAGAGGCTATGCAAAATTATATATTTCAATTTTCAATTTTAAAATTGACAGGCGGCGACCTGTGTCCGAAAATCTGACTCGATTTGTAATTTTGTATAAACTAAAATATGCATTTAGGATTTGATTTCGTGTATTTCGTTACTTTATTGGACAATACGATACAATCCCGATTAAAAATTGGTTTTTTACATTATAGCCAGGTATACGTTGCGTAAATGCATTTTTAAAACGAGTACTTCTTTTTGAATGCATTGCGATAACGTTAAACGAAGATCGTTTATACTGTATCCATAGCAAATTAGCAATAATTTTATGAAACCTTCCTCATTCAGCGCTCTTTTTATGAGTTTTGACCCCTACATATATTAGGCGGGTTGAGCTGCGAGTACTGTACTTGGAGCCAGAGGACACGATCACACGAGAGTAGGCACGGATCCAGACATATGTACTACTGCAATAAATTTTGACGAAACAGAACAATACACATGGTGTTCTATAATAAAAACAAAACAAATAAGTTAAAAAACCTATATTACACCTCGCGGTGAGCGGGAGATTGGGAGTGCATGACTAGGCCGCTGTAATTGGGTCTGAGGTCATTGGGCTTCTATGTTTGTCGATAGCCGATTGGCAGTTCTAAGTTCAATTCCGATATTCTATTTTTATTTTAGATATTAAAAATTTTATGCTTTAATATTTCAGCGAGAGTGGACAACTTATTATTGGACGTCTCGAAGGTGTAAATATGTCGCATGGTCAACACATGTGGGCGCGAGTCACCACTCGCCAGTCCCGCCACTATGATACAATTTATACTCCGAAATATAGCAAGCACGAGTAGACTTATTATATATATTTCTTTTTCGGAATTTTCTATAAAAAAGGAAATATATATATTAAAACAAAAATGAACAATGAGTAGTGTGTATGACATTTATATTTTTGAAAAAAGGAATAGCGCCAGCGACACGAGGAGCTATTTAGTATTTACCAGTTGATATATAATATAGTACTATGGTCCACCTGACAAGAGACTAAACGAGCTATCTAAAGTTCTAAATAAAATAGTACTAGAGACTCTCAACCTAAGCTCATAACGTTTTGGGGGTACGTGGTAGAAGTTGAGCGTAAACACATATTTATTTAATTTGAAACGTTAATGAAGTTAGAAGGATCTACCTAAGTTCTATTATAGAACTAGTTCGTATGGTGAACATTGTTGCACCTATATACAAAGGACTGCATATGAAATAAACGTTGAACGGAAACGTATATTTATTCGATTTGTAAAAGAAAAAATAGAAAACGGTTTGAGGCTAGCTCTCTACTACTAGTAGTACATAGGAGAGAGATTAGCTGGAACTCGACCGCTGGGCTAGAGCTCAACACGACACGACATGTACACGTATACGGTCAACGTAAAGGCAATTTTTTATAATAAATAAACGATATAACGTTTTGGGGTCAAGTTTGATGAAGAAATTTTGAAATTACACTTGCCATATGCACCTATCAAATGCGAAACGGACAATGAAACTCAGATTAACCGTCACTGTTTGTGGCTATTTCTGGTGCCAAAATATAAGAACACAATTGGATCATAGTATGACCTCATGAATGCACCCACCTATATGGGAGATGGACAATATGGTATATAAAAGTTGGACGTAAATCGATACTTGAAATATTTATAAAACGTTATATCCGATAACGTTTTGGCTCAGGCCCACGGGCCTCGGGTCCTCGGCCCCTCGGCCATCCGAAATCTGCCAGAGACGAGAGTAAGTGCAAGAGTCACGAGCAAGACCGTCACAGAGTCTCAGACTTTTAATCTTTAGCCGCTAACCGGCATTGGCTCAAGCAGATTTCATGAGTTGTGTTGAGAGCATGATTGATTGATTTCAAATTTTAGATTTACAATGCCAATTTATAGTCTAACTTTATTCATGTAAATATGTAGGACCTGACTACCTGTACTATGTATCAGAATTCAGCTAGTTAAAGTAAATAAAAATAAATAATCGTAAATACATATGCTGCCTGCTGGCTTTTTTATTGGGTTGTTTTATTAAAAAAAAAGACCAAACAAATGTCGTGCAACTCGAGATTCGAGAAGTCGCTCAGTGAAAATAAATAAAATTCATACGCACAGCGGAATACAAATCCCTATGTACTCCCTCTATTTTTGTTTGAAAAGCCTCGCCTGGCCAGGACGGGAAAAATATTTGTTTTTAAAAAATCAGAACAAACATGCAACTATGTAGGAAATGTCAAAATGGCATATTTATTTATTTATTTGCAACTAAATACATACATATCTCGTCGCAATTTTCATTATTGTTTTATAAAAGAAGTAAATTAGATTTGAACTGAATCGTCCTATATAAGCCAACGCAACTGCACTTGCAAAATTCAGAACTATTGAATTACGATACAGTCACCACAAACTTGATTACTGACATAATGAGAGTCCACACACTAACAGCAATTATTGCACTTGCTGCCACTGTGATGGCTCAAGGCCCTACTGCAAGCCCCACACCAACACCGTTAGTATCTTCTGAAGCGACAATGCCTGCACCGTCGGCATCAACTTCAGAGGCACCACCTGCCCCTACACCAACGGCATCGACTTCGGAGGTATCAACTGCCCCTACACCAACGGCATCAACTATGGAGGTACCGACTGCCCCTACACCAACGGCATCAACTATGGAGGTATCGACTGCCCCTACACCAACGGCATCGACTTCGGAGGTACCGGCTGACCCTACACCAACGGCATCGACTTCGGAGGTACCGACTGCCCCTACAGCAACAGCATCGACTTCGGAGGTACCGACTGCCCCTACACCAACGGCATCGACTTCGGAGGTACCGACTGCCCCTACACCAACGGCATCGACTTCGGAGTCACCAACTGCCGCAACACCAACTGCTTCTCCTACCCCATCAGCGAGTGAGTCAACAGAACCCGTAGTAACAATCACACCATCTGCGACGGCCACGCCATCTGCATCTCCAAGTACGTCCATGGATGCTGCTGTAACACAATCTGCGACTGCCACACCATCTGCCTCACCTAGCACGTCTATGAATGCTGCTGTCACATCCACCCCAACTGTCCCCGATAGTGACTTTATCACGTGTGCGATTAAGGATGTCGAAAGTCCCCTAGGCTGTGATGAGGTTCAGGATGACAAGTCGTGCTGTCGATACAGTTGGAGCTGTGGAAATCTAAACAAGTGCACCCCCTCATTCTGTTGCAAAGAGACCATCCCCACACCAACTCCTCATCCTTCACCATCCAGCACCCCCAGTTACGAGCCAGTCGATAATTACATCAACTGTGCTGTGAAGAAGTCAGAGGGTGGCTTTAAATGCAGCGGAGATGAGGTGGTAGACAAAAAGAAGGAGTGCTGTCGATGGTCCGATGAATGTGGCAACTTGAAGAAGTGTACCGAGGATTACTGTTGCACTGACGATACTTATTACCCTAAGCCATCACCTTCTGCCAAACCTCAAGACTACAGTATCAAGTGCAAGGAGAAGCACGGTATCTATTGCTCTGTAGGCTCTGAGTTAGATGATGACAAGAAGTGCTGTGAGTATCCCGGCGCATGCGGAGATCTTAAAAGTTGTAAATCAGACTACTGCTGTACCGAATCTGGCCCACTACCACCACCAGATACCGTGGGAGCCTGTGATTGTGATGGAGCAGTAATCGACAAGGTTTGTTACTCGTCGCTAGAGGCGGCTATCGAAGCTGCATCGAATGGTGACATCGTCTACGTTGGTGGTGATATCGAGGTAGACGCGCCTATTCAATTTACACAAAGTCTGTCCTTCAGCGGTGTGCTTTGTGATGACGAGCGGGCTCAGATTATCGCTACTTTCGATGAAGTCGATGGAGCTATTTTCGAGGCTGTGAATGAGGATGAACAAGAAGTGAACTTCCTGCACCTGGCTATCACCAGCGAGGATGACAACTCGGCTGCTGCGTTTCACTCTCTTGGCAGTGTCACTGACGCCCCTAACCAAGGAGTGACCATGAACTTGACGAATGTTTGGATTCATGACATGTACAGTCAAAGACCTGGTGTAGGTATTTTTATCGGAACATCCAAGGGATTGACTGTTGACGATAACTGTTATTTCTACAGCTTAACCATGAGCACAACCGAGATGGATATGTATGCAGGTGGAGCTGCTATTGCTGTTGTCTATCTACCCGAGGGCAGTGAGATCCGCATCGCCGGTTCTTTTAAGGACAACAGTGCGTTCTACCCCGAGGCATCATTGCACAGCGGAGGTGGTGCCATTTACATGGACTACATGGAGGGAGATGTTACGTTCACAGCTGCCTTCGAGAACAACTCAGCCAATCAGGGTGGAGCCGTCAATGTGCAGGGAGTGCTTGGTAATATGATTGTGGATGGTTACTACTCTGAGAATCACGCTATCGATGATGGATACGGTTCACGAGCTGGTGCATTTCGAGTGCTCGAGATCGAGTCCTCAGGAAGTGTTATCTTCAACGGCTCTTTTGTTGGCAACACTGCTCAAGGACGTGGAGGTGCCATTGCCACTAACATACACAGGTCAGGTAGCAAGATGTACTTGGATGGCATCTTCCAGAACAACGTAGCATCGACTGTCGGTGGAGTGTGGAGTATGTGGTCTAGCACCCAATTGAATGGTATGGTCCAACTCGACGGCGACAGCATCTTCGAAGGTAATTTGGCTGTGTATGATGATTCCGCTTCAGGAATCTACGATATCTCTCAAGGGGGTGAGACAGATAAGCTGGCTGAAGACGAGTGGTTCGGTCGCACAATCACCATCAACTAGATGATTGATAATAATTTAGTATATATCTCTGATGTCTGATTTGTACTTTAGTCTGACAAGGGCTATCTAATAGGAAACAATAAATCGGAATAGAAGGTACTTTTCATCTTATCGTAGGAATCGGAGTAGAAGGTATTTATCTCTTTTCGTAGAAATTGGAATAGAAAGTATTTTATCTCCTATCGTAGGAATCGAAATAGAAGGTACTTTTTATCGTTATCGGAGAAGGTATTTACATTACCGCTATTGTATAAATCAGAACAGAAGATTCTGTCTATATATATATGTTTATATATATATATGTATACATATATACGTATATATATGTATATATATATATATATATATATATTTATTATTTATATTTATATTTT